TTCTCAAGATAGTCAGCTGTAGTGGATGTTCGCCAAAATACTATCTCTAAAAAAATTCTTCACTATTTAATCTCAAAATAATTTTTATTCCTTTGAAGGTAGTTGGAAATAACCGAAAGTACAGGAAATTTGGAACTAATGCGTAAGCAGAAAGTGATACAGGTGATAAGTGGGTGATACATTGAATATGCTATAAATGAACCGAAATTTGCTGCGATATGTTTAGGTACAAATGTTTTACATTTGCCTGCGATTATTATTATTTCTTTAAAATGGAAGTCTTCTGTATTCCTGTTAATGAATCACATGCATTTAAATGTTTTGGTAAGTCATTATAATACGTTTAGATTTTAATAGATTTCAATGTGCACTCCCACCTTCCAAAAAGAGGAAGAGAAGAAACTCGTACAACAATATATTCGCAAGAATTTAAATTTTAATTATGCTTATGCAAATTATTTTAAAATAAATATTGGATCTGAAATTTTTTTGATTGGTATTTAGTTGAATGAAGAAATTTTTGCAGTAAGATTTTGTTACCTATTGCTTATTGAAAAGAAAGAAATTTTAAAGCATTAGCTACAAAAGTTTCAGCTGCCAGTGTTTCAAGGGCTGAAATGATATGTTAGACTTAAACAAATATTATTAGCTCCACTCTCATTACAGTAATTTTATAGATCTCCAAAATGAGCTCTTTCTCTCCAAATCAAAACTTTTAATAGCAATTTTATAAACTTAACTGCACATTAAACATGGAAGGAACTTCATATATTTTTGAGTTGATATACCCTGAGGTAACCTGGTACCCTTACAGTAAAAACTGCCGATATCCTGGTAGGATTTTAAAATTCTGTACAGGGGTGTAATTAATGTGATAGTTCAGAGTTTGCTTTTCTGTAATGTGATAGTTTCTACTTTTAATGTGGTAGTTTCTATTTTTCCTACTTTGTTATAGTTTCTACTTTTAATGCGGTAGTTTCTATTTTTCCTACTTTGTGATAGTTGCTACTTTTCTGTAATCAATGTGATACTCGTCGTTCCTATTTTTCTCTTATTTCTTGCATATTATGGACGCGGATAACATCCAGAGGCACGTATGTTTGATTTGAAGTTGCTATTAACTCTTTCGCATTGATAGAGGCCAAAATCTATTCCCTCAATAACTTGAAATGTTGAGGAATTGCAAATTTATGTTAAAATAGATTTCCTTCTCCCCCTGCCAAGTAGAACGCTACAGCGCTAACAGTAACCTACTTAAGTGAAGTGATTAGTTCTCTCTTTGGGGAATGTTGGTTGCAGTTTCCCCTTAGAGCACGAAGTGCGAGCATCAATAGCTAAACAAAGGAGAAGGAAGGTGGACTAACACATAACACAGCTTTCTTCAGTCGCTTAAAAAGAATTATTGGCACGTCATTTAACAATTCCTAAAACCAATTAGACATGCAATAGCGTGATGGAGGAAAGCACTAAATAGAAAATGGACGGAGGCGTTCAAGCGACCTGCCGAATTCTGAATGCACGGGCGTTTCGGATACTTCGCTGTGAAAGTGTTTAAAAGAAATTTACAGCTCAGCGATATGTAAAATAAAATAGCTACTCTGTTTTCCCAGTCAAGAAATTTCTATATTAGTGAAATAGTTAGATAAATTCTTCCGAAACTTGTGCTAGCATGATTTCCTCAGTTTTCATTACTTACAGGTTTGCTTAGATTTTAACCAAGAATTTGTTGAATGGAATTTGTATATCATGAAAGAAGCATGTATACGTCTATACTACATCAAACTGCTAATACTCGCAATATTCGTAAGGGAGACCATCGTCACAGTAATTTACTCGTGTTATCTGGCAGGGCCAACCTGTTTTCTTAATTTAATATTTTGTTAAGTCTATATAATTATATCGTAGTCTATAATTTAGTTAAATAAAAAGAAAAATGTCTTCGGTTCCGCATAATAATTTTTCTAGGAAGGATACAGTGATGAATTTTCAACTTGAGGTATTGAGGTACAAAAATGCCCACAAAATTAAACTTACAAGATATTTTATTATTAGCCACTGTTTTACAAGCTTAATACAGGGATTTCCAAAACTTTTCTTACATCGGCTCCTTTTATGGAAATATAGCATGATACAAATAATTGTATATAAATAACTTAAATACATCAGTTAGTCTAAAAACATGAAAAACACGCTTTTTTAAAGAACGGCTTATTATATTTATGTTTTATCATTTTAAATTTTGCAAATATAAACAAGTTTTCAGAAACAGAATCACGGATTTCAATTGCAGAAAAGATTGATTATAATTAACGTAAAAGTAGCGCTTGATGTACTGATGCTATTCTTTCAGCGCTTGGTTTAAAAGTGCTTAAATTAATTCTTAAATCACCTATTTCCAAAAAATATTCAACCGGTTTCGTGTTTTCAGCAGTAATTTATTATCTTGACTGAAATCCGCTTTCACTAGGCGAAAAGATGCTGAAGTCAATTATGTTGGTACAGTAACAACTTTATATTTAGGAATATTTCCCTCGTATCATTTTTAAGTTCCAAAAATTAACGTAACCTTTAGTTTTTGTAATCAATAGCATCTTGATTATCCGAATCAGCTTTTAGAGAATACTTGGCTGTCGACAGACACATTGATTATCACTGACCCTTTAAGAAATTTCATCGACAAGCAGGCTGTCATTACTGACACCGTTGGGAGCCTCTGCTTTAGTGGAATAAATCCGAAGATAATCCACTGGACAGAAAATATTTTCTCAATCGATTCCATTTTTAATTCACCCCCAAGTTATTTTAAGTAGTGTTGCTTTGTGTAATGTAATATCTCAGTTAAAGTTTACCATTGTAGAACTTCGTTAATTAAACATGTCTTTGTCTTACAATAGATTTCAGACCACAAGCAGTTAAAGTAGATGAGCAAATGCATTTCTAACTTCGAATATATTAAAAATAATCACACATACGTAGAAGCTTACATATTATCTTACATATTAAAACAATGAAAATTTTAATAAATAGTATACTGTTTTAACAACACGATGCATATTCTTATAAGGTATAGTTTATTCGATAAAAGTTTGCTGTGGAGAATAAACATGCGTGAAGTTAGATGAGACCTTTTGTAAAACAGTATGTTAAGAAGATTTTTCAAATAGGGTTAGTTACCACAAAAAATTCGAAAAGAAGTTTTTAACTTCGCATTAACTAAAAAAGCTTATAATTTGCTAATTCTTTAAGAAACCCTATATATTATTTCAGTGCATTAAAAAAGTGTACAAAATTATAACTCTTTCTGAAGTAAAATTTTAACGCGTAGTTAAAAATAAGTCGCGTTGAAAATTTCTTAAGGTTATACATTGATATGCTAAATAAAATTCCTTTTTTAAAAATTTTCTGTCTGAGGAAGCTTTGGTTATACTAAGAAGATACATTTTTGAAAGTTTGAAGTATTGAAGTCCGTCAAGTGTAAACTGAAACAAGTTATAATAAACTATCAACGCCGCGTTCTTTTTGTTTAAAACAGTAAAGTGTATTTCCATCGGCAATTTTATTTTATTTCATTTTCCAAGAAGATTTTAATATTTTATTTTTCATCAAACTTTGGATAATAAATATTCTTTACATTAAGAAAAAGATTACATTAACTAAACAAGTACACCATTCTGCATTTAAAACTAATTTTCCACCCTATAAACATTTTCGGGCACTTTTAGGAATTGTATACATCCCAAGCGTTGATGAGATACGCGTTATGATTTCATTCCGCATTGATTATTTTTCTTTTTCTTTTTTCACATCACTTTTGTCCCTGAGATTTTAATTTAAAGCAAAATAAGCCCTTTTTTTTTTTTTTTTTTTTTTTTTGGTGTTTGGTTTTCCTTTATTGCTTTCTGGTATTGGATTTTACTTGAAATGCGCGTCCTTGCAATTTTCCTGTAGTTTATTTCAGTTTGCCATGTGTAATATTCACGTGCTTATTAAGATATCAGATTTATTTAGGAGAAGGAAAATGAAAAAAAAAAAAAAAGGTGTCCGAGAGTCGAAATCCGGACCTTCCGATGCTAGCCGGACGTGCTTTCTAGTTACACCACGAACGTACGTGGTCAGGAGGGAGGAAAACCTTACATGTTTAACTATCATTCTTTTATTGCTACAATTATTTTGTTTACATATTTTTTATTATGCTTACATATATTTATGAACTGTGAAATGGCTTCAAGTGATGGAATATTTCCTTTATGAGTAAGCACTCCACATCTAATTATTTTTCTCTCTCTCTCTCTATATATATATATATTCAGCAGAACATACTTTCAGAACCTAAAAATAGTATCACAGTTTTTAAATCAGCTTATGGATTATATTCAGGATGTTTTGAAGTTACATTTTTTATGTAATGTTAAAATTAAAATTTGTCTGATTTGTTTCTTGTTTCTAAAGGAATACAAATAGTTCTGTTCATGTTAGAGGTAGCAGGAATCTTCAAGCGCGTAATTTGCACGAAATGTTGAAAAGTTTTCTATGTCTAAAGATGTATGACACTTAAATCAAGTCATCCGTTTTTAAACTTTATGATTATATGCGCATAATTACTAAAGCTTTGTTCTTTAATTTGATATAAGGGCCATTATTTTGCAGTGCTTAAGATACTAATTATAACGACAGCTCTGTTACTAACTCTTGATAAAGACTCTTCCTTCAGTAAGAGTTCATTATCTTTTCAAAATGGCTACACATCGATTAAAAATTATTAAACAAAAATTAAAATCTGGTGGGTGATACAACACGTTCACAAAACTAATTAAGGAGCAAGTAGGGTCTGAATTACGAAGAAAACTTACAAGTTTCAAAGGAAGGCTTTTGTCTTAAGAGAATGGTATGATCTTTACCTAGGAAAATGCTAAGCATTCATTGTGTAAACATTTAACATAATTTTATAACTTCATTTAAACATAAATTTCAATATTATAAGTTAAATAAATGTATTAAACCACTGACCGGCTGGTATAATTTTAGCAACGGCTCTCTCTGTCCACCAATCGCATTACTGCCCCAACACAGCAAGAGACCATATCCGGCTAGAGTTCTTGGGGTGTAGCTAAGGACACTTCTGGAACCTTCACTCCACCACTTCTGAAGATTGACTACCTCGAGGGTGTTGTTCAGTGCCCATCGAAAATTCACATCCGGTGGATCGGCTTCCACTTCACACGTGACATTAACATTTTCTGTACGAGCCACTCCATACACCTTTGGATCAGACAGTTTGCACACAGGCGCATCTGAAACGGGAAATGTAACGGATGGGACATGAAAGGCTCTAAGAATTGAAATATATAGTCACCTAAACATTTAATAGTAAAATAAAAAGACAGAAATAATATTAAACTCTGATTGCCACTTTTTTCATGAAGTACATATAAAACACTTATTCCGTCGATTAACGTTAAGGAAAAAAATTAAATACTAAAATTATTAATTAGAATTTATTAATAGATTATGCTATTACTATACACTATAGAATTATTACTACATAATAATTACTATAGAATAATTCTACTGCAGAATGATTACTATAGAACTATTAATCTGTAATATTACTACAGAATTATTAATATAATATGTTATTACTATGTCATATAGTTGTTACTCGAAAGAACAAGTGGTACTCTTCTGCAGTCATTAATTCGTAAATGCAGGCACATAATAACTGAAGAACATTTATATTAATTTAGAAGTTAAACAATAAAAATCAGCGTTATATTCGAAAAATTTTCAGGATTAGTTACGATGGTTTTACCAAACCATCACCCTCAGATGCCAAAGTGCAAAGGATGATGCTTCCGTAAAACCATGGAAACTAGTCCTAGAAAATTTCATATATGTATCATATATGTATCATTCTTTGCAAAAAGAAGAAAGGGAAAAAAAAAGGAAAAAACATCTAAAGACCTTAAATTTTTTTTCCGTTTTTCCAAAACTCTATGTACAATATGAATAAATAGAATTGAGTTGAGGAATAACTGAATAAAATTTTTAGATTCTATTTTCTAAAAAGTAATTTAATTATTCAAAAAGTAGCTTAATTGATTTAATAAATTAAAAAATATTCATGATGAAATTACACAACTAATTGAGCCTGACTGAATTAATACCATTAACATTAAATCCTCCCGATAATTAAATGAAACAGGCATTAATAAATGTAAAAGAAAATTTAACTCCCCCTTTTCATATAAATTTCATTAAAATTAATGTTACAGGAAAAGCTTGGATAATTTAATATTTATTTGAACTTTAATAATTTAATTCAAAACATTTTCATTCTATGAGGTACATATCTAGCATTTACCTGGGATGGGTTTGAAATTCAGTACCCGTTTTTGTAATACAGGCATTAGTAAACTATTTTCAGTTATTGTTGTCTTCTTTACAGTATATCACAAATATTTAACAAAAATAATCATATTACATTACAGAAGTAATAACACAATGCGATTTTATAAATAACTGCATTAATCTCGAATAAAAAGATGTTCTGTTTATTTACTAATTTGATTTTTTAAATCTAAATTCCAATTTTCATTATTAAATAATTATGTTCTTCTAATTATCTGAGAATATTTTCAAGAACTTTCGGTTTTTATACAACATATTTTTTTTTTTTTAGTCCAAAGGGGCTTTGTCCCTGAAGCACTATTGTTTTCGTTTTGCGATTTTGCGTCGGACTCATAAACATCGGTTCACTTTTCAAACTGTTGCCACAAAATGTTAGAGTCCTGCATTATATTTGAAGAAATTAAATAATGAAAAATCTGCATAAATGATTGTCTATTTCTCGCATTGTGATAAAACAATGGTACATAGAGCCATCGAATTTTGAATGACGAAATCCTACTTATACTACTGCGAATATGGGCATCTGAAATCCCAAATTTGGAATTTGTTTTATTATAGATTTTATATTTTGTAAAAATTTAACGAATTTTTTATTTACAAACTCAATGCTTTAAAAGCGAGAAATGGCAACGTTATATAGAAAAAAAATACTTTTATCTCCAGCTCGCGAGACTGTGTATATCGGAAATTCTAAAGATATGCTTAATTTAACATTATTTTGCGATATTGCTCTTGAACTGAATTTTATGGTTTAAGTGCAAAGAACATGATATTTAATAAATAAAGGTAACACTCAAAACGTTAAAAGAACGCCCCTTTGGACGTAATTTAAAATCTGAAACATTTCAGTTTTTTTTTTTTTTTTTTTTTTTTTTTTTTTTTTTACCAAAATAATGCATTATGTATTTAAAATATGTTACGAACGGATTAATTATTCTTCAGTGACATCATAGTAGATTGTTAATTGAGGTATATGATAGTTAAATTTTTACAAAATTATTTATATTTTATTGAATCTTTATTTATCTGAAATAAGAAGAAACTATTTTAAAAGTCCTGGTTATAATTCTTGAGAATATGTCTTATAGCATACTTTCAAAAGCGTAATCGAATGAGTACTGTGATAAATTAAGTATAAGGTTGCAGAGTCATTAGGTTATTTTGATCTGGAAATGGGAAAAATGAGCAATGAGTTATCTCGAGTTCGGGGCTTGAGCCTGGACCTCTCGAATACGCTTCGAGTTTGCTAACTGTTGCACCACCAAGGCTGGAAGGAGGGAGAAAATACTCCCTTCTAAAAGACGACTTGGGATTAAGGACTCCAATCGCCTAATCCCGGTGGTGAAGAATCATCAGCCACTACGTTTTTTTAGTTCGGGCGCCAGTGTGCAGATTATTAGCTTATTTTGCAGCAGCAGAGGTGACAAATCAATAATGCCCCCACAGGGAATCGAACCTGGACTTTTCGAATACGCGCCGATTGATGTACGTTACACAAAGAAGTATGCATACAGACTTGCAGAAAGTAGGAAGAAAGTGCCTTATAGGGTGACACATTTTTAAAAATAACAATTTCCATCTCTGCGCAAAGAATTAATCTTAATTCTTGAGCTGATAGTGATTTTAAAACCTTTATATTTCAGCTAGCTTTAGTTATAAGCTAATAATATTTTGCTATTTTAGGTTTTATTAGGTAATAAATTTCCTTACATATAATCATTATACATGCAATACATTCTTTTAAAAGTAAATTCAGGAAAAGGGAATACTTACACTGTACCAGCAAATGAAGATAATCACTGACACTTTGACCTTCTGAATTTCCTGCTAAGCATCTATATCGACCTCTGTGTTCCCTTCTTACACCTTGTAACACGAGAGTTTGATTACTTATGATCACACCCGATGATTTGTTACTTGAGACATAGTGATCCTCGAACTGCCACGTTACTTCGCTAACCCAGGGATTTGCTCGGATATTGCATTCAAGATAAACGTCACTTCCTTCTCTGATTCCGGATAAGCTGATGGAAGGCCCAAGAGCAAGATTTATAATTGGAGGATCTGTAAAATAATACCAACTCACAATCGGAATACATTTTATTTGCATAAACATGTGCATGTTGAATCAGTAATCTTTCGTCTTTTGCAACACGCGAGATCTGCCTGCACAAGAATCTGAAATTTATGTAGAAGGACTGGGGTTTAGGATTTACAAGAAGGTACATATCCAGCGAGTCTTCTCCACATTAAAGTCGGTCCTGTTAACAGATGCCACTTGATATATTCATATATTTGAAAGGATGATCTTTAAATCCTCACTCTCCGTTTTAATTTTGGTATATAGGAAACTGAAGAGAATGCAAAATATTTTATTATTCGTATTTTGAATCGTAGAACACAATTTTAAAATTCCAAGAAATTAGTTTCAGAGATTTTTTTGGAACAATTCTGAAATGTTAAATTATGGCAGGAAAGTGGCTAAATCTATGAACTCTTAATTTTAAAAGGAAGGCTTATTAAAATATATTAATAACAGTTTAGTTAATAACTTCAGTTTCAGCTTTCAAAAATAATATTAAACAAATAAACGTAAAAAATTTTATATATGAAATACATCAGATTAGGTAAGTTTTAAGTAAGATCTATTTCATAATATTAAACTAAACAAAACTTTAGAAGAAAGCTAAAAGCAAGAAAGATATATCTTTATAATTGCAGGACAGAACTACAAAACAGTTACTACTAATTAAGACACAATAACACGCCGAACAAATGCTAATTCAGAAGTCAAACAACAAAAATCAGTGTTTGATTTTTGTTGTTTGACTTCTGAATCAGTTACTACTAATTAAATTGTTTTTTTTTAATCTGAAAAATTACCTAGGTATAACTAACTTATAGTTGAGCGAAGATTAAGTCATTGGGGCCTTTTAAGCCCAACAGTGTGAACAAAAATTGCTTAAATGTTTATGACTCTTTTTCAGGAATATTTGTGATTAACAGAAAAAAATATGACAAAAATTCTTTTTGAATTGAACTGAAAGTGCAGTGTTTTGTTAGCTTATGATTAGATTCTTTTCTAATTTTATTGAAAGTTAGAATAATAATGGAAGCAAAGCAACGAAAATAATAATTTACAATAGCTGAAGAAAATGAAAGCATAATATCACATTTGGATTTCATTTTGATAGACACATCTTTTCATGATATTGCTGCCATAATACAATACTGTACTAATTATTACTCTCTTTTAAATCTGAATCTGTATAAGTTATATATAATAAATTACAAGATTTTGAATATGATGCCTCAGTTTTTTTAAGTTTTATTTTTAGCAGAAAAAGGGCTATTAATCTCAAAAGAAGTTATAACGTCAAATCGTTATATATGTGCCGTTTCACTTTTCTTTTGAGCCTTTCTACAAAATGTCAGATATTTATCTTTCAAAATGAATCTGTCTGTTGCGAATTAACAAAGCTATTTGAAATCAAAAGATGCAGTTCTTAGGAATATTTCTTTCTTATTTTGAAATAGATTAAGTTAAATAATAAAAATGCATTTAATTCATGATATATGTAATTAAAATATTCAACATTTTCATAGAATGACGTCCTTCTTTATTATTTATTTCATATTTTGTAAAATTATAAGGAATTTTTAATTGATGAATTCAAAGATTTCAAAGCGAGCAGTGATAACACTGTGCGGAATAAATCATTTTATCTCCAACAGGTAGAACTTATATTCTATTGGAAATCTAAAGATGTACTGTTTTTAAATATTTTGTGATTCTCCTGTTAAAATTGCATTTTAATAAATAAAGATTACACACAAAACGTCAATGATAAAAACACAAATAAAAGTTTTTTAAGCCATCTTACTAAGAAAACTGAATATTGATATGATAAACTCAGAAAAGACTGAAAAATATAGAAATATATTAGTATGCTAACACTTAAAATATATATAGTATGCTAACACTTAAAATATATATAGTATGCTAAACACTTAAAACTGCATCAGGAGTTCTAAACTTTGCGACCGTTAAAATCTGAAGCCTTGTTGATATTTTAAAAAATGTAATTATTTATTTAGTTATTTTATTCCGGTGTAAATTATATTAAAAAAATACCTGAAACGTATTGCCGAATTTACATATAAATAAAAGACTGTTGTCATTGCTGAGGAGAAAAAACAATTTTCGTTTATTGCTTCCTTAAATGTACGAACGTATATCGTTCGTTCATTTAAGGAATGTTCGTACATTAAGGTTCGTTATAATCAAATGCATATTCTTATGCTGTTATACTTTTTTAAAATAATTTCCTCTCAACTATAATTATTTTTGCTTACAGTATACTAAAAATTTTCTAAAAAATTTTGAATTAATAATACATAGCAATATATTGAATTTTAAATTATGTTGTAGCAAATTAGATTGTTTTTATTGAGATTATGTTAAATTATTTAATATCTTTTATCCATAAAAAGGAAATAAATTAACGTTTCATGGAAAAAATTTTGTAGAATTTTTATGAGACTGAGGTTCTTCATATTTGTATCCATTACAATACACGAAAATAATGGAAAATGAAATTGCGCACTACTAAGATTATGTAGAATTCAATATAGAATCCACCTAGTTAAGTTATTCAACAATACCTACAAAAGCTTACACATAGTTTTTCGATTACATTTTAAATAATTTATAGAAATAATAACGGCAAAATAAATTGATTTTTTTTTATTTGTAAGAATTTGGAATTAATTTCAGAAAAATCTAAAAAACGATTCACATACATATTCGTCGTATTCTAAAGATAAAAATATTTCTTAAACCATCTCTTTATACTAGGAATTAATCTTTTGTTCTTTCACTAAGCGTCTTCTTATCCGAGTGTAATGCGTTCGATATGTTCAATAGTAGTTAAAACCAGTATTTAAATTGCCAGATAAGTCATGATTTTTATATCCTGTTCTACCATATTTCTTTTTTTTTAATTCGTCATTCATCTTCCTTTTGAAGAAATCCACAAATATCGTTTGCTAAATTCATCAGTTCACAGTTTTAGTATTTAATACATTTAATTAATAATAAAGAATTAACCAAGTGTGTTAAATGGCAACCAAACTCTAAATAACTCTAACGTGTTTAAGAAAAATCTCCGTCAAATTGAGTAAACATTCAGAAAATGTGAAACTTAAGTTCACAAGTATTGTAAATAAACAAAGTTAAACTATTTGCAAATGAATCATTTAAAAAAGCTATTTGCTTAATGAAACAAGCTGCAAAGTTACAAGAAAACAAAGCAAAAGAAACCAATCGAAATACCTATTTCACTACTATAATTGAAATGCCCAATACTGCGACATTTAGTAACTGCTGTATAAAGTAATTGAGAAAATAACGTTTATAATTATTTGAAAATTAATTATAAAATATTATGAAATATACAACTAAAATTGCTACAAAAGCACGATAAAGTTAGATGATAAATGTTTTTTCTCCTGTATTCTATACAAATTTCAAGAATAATTTCATAACAGTTTGTATAGAAAGTATTAAGTACATAAAATATAACTAAAACTTGGCTAAGAAAATTATCCAAGAAAAGGTGGAAGCAATTATCAGATTATCATTCTTAAAAACATATTTCATCAGCTATTTTGAAATTTCTTACTGTTATTTTGATTCTCTCAGATTTAATTTTGATATTTTGCTACATAGGCATAACCAATTTCTATTTATTATAGTATTACGGCATTAGAATAACAAGTAGTATAAGGTTATCCAATTTATCGAATTGCAGGATTGCAGGAAGTACGTAGGATGATCCTAAAATTATATAAAACTTTAAAAAAACTGTGAAAATTCCAAAATGAAGAGTAATGCCCAAATTGCTTGAATGGATGATACCCTATAGTTTTAAACAATCAATATATCACTTAAAATTTCAATTGCAATTTATACTGTTAGCTTCAAAAACCGGTTGTTTGACGTAGGAATGAGATGTGCTTTTCCCGAAAGAAAAAGAAATTTCATGATTGTGGGTTACTTCACAACGCATTCTTCCAGTTGTTGAAACGTTTGAAGAGATATTCTCAAATATTCACAATTCTAGGAAGACAATGAATATCCTTAGGATGTGAAACTGTCGAAGTCCTAAAGACGTCTAAGATTCTACATCTTCAGCATATTTTAGTATATTCTGTGACACTGCCACTTAAACAAAGCCTCCTCAAGATGCGATTTTTTTTACTAATCACTTAACTTTGAGAATGTGGTAGCTTTCACTATGAGAACGGATATGGGCTCCCGTCTGTTCTGAGTTTGAGGGAAATGAGCAAAATCAAGAATAAAATGCTACAGTCATTAAAAAAGATTGTAAAAGAATTATCATAATGAAATTTGTGCATTTCGAAGTTATGTTCAATCATAAAACTTCGTACTGCTTGGGGAAAACTCATCTCCATTTTGCATTAACAAACGGTTTTAAAGCTAATAGAATTAATTTCAACTGAAATTTTGAGTACAAGAAATAGTATAGAGGTATCACCCATTGAAAGAATTTGTCATTAATATCCATTGTGGAATCTCCAGAATTTTTCAAAATGTTTGCGCAGAACTTTTGGATCACCCAGTATTTTTCATAAATAACTTTGATGTGTCATTTTTTTAATTATGCCTTAAATTTATAACTTTATACTCATTTAAATATTTTAATTGGAATAATTGCTTTCTGACTGTGTACACAATCTGTAAAAGGAATTATTTTACTTGCCTTGAGTTAAAGCAAAAAATTTGGGGAACATTCCAGAAAGAAGAGAGATTTCGAAAGAATGTTTCCTTTTCTGGAATTGTAGAAGGTGATTCCTAGGCATTGATTATGGAAATTTCGCGAAGCTAATTTGCCTTTTTAGGAAAATAAGTCATTTTCCTGGCCGGAGAAAAATAGCCATGGGTGCGTGCGTTACCTTATTAGGAAAGAACGACTAGACACAGAGATGAATAAATTCCCCTACCTCCATAGTCCGGTTACAAGGGGTCAGAGAGAGTAGGGCTGGGAACTGGGATAAATAGAGTTTTCTTAGTCCTGGAGAAGAAGGAGGGGACTGATAGTAGGTGTCAGGTGATACTGAACGGGAGGAAACGAAGGGTTGTGTTAATGACCCAAGGCAACCTAGTTTCTACGAGCGGAAGAAGGGACGGAAAAACCAAAAAAAGGAAGTAGAACACCATTTTTGAAACCTCTGTTTAGCTGATAGGAGTATGCGATATTGACGGATTAGGGAAGGGAAGCGTCATCTTACAGCACGTGGACCCCATATGCTCCCATTTCGGCGCTGAAGATTACATAAGAAAGCAGAATTTTAGGTACAAGCTGCTTTATCCCAGGACTAGGGACTAGCCGCTTTCGCACCTAGCAATACAGTTGGAATCAATCCACTCCTCCATGAATGAAAGATGAAAAATTCCTGAGGAAAGAGAACACTGATAGAAATTACCTTGGCTATCCACAACCTGAGAAGAGGACCAACACATCCTATGGCCAGTGTCATTATTCGTGCTTTAATCTTTCTTCTCATTCCCGACTAACTGAACCATCAACTCGCTAGGAACTGTCTCTAAGCTCATGAGCTTAATATTACCTTAACGTATATGACTTTATATGTATTCTTTCACATATGCAGAAATTTATTTTTACTGTTTCTCTTAAAATGACTTTTTTTAATTCATAAATTACTTTGGATGTCTTAAAATATTACCTTTTTTATGTTTAAATGAGAAAATAAATGAAATTTATGGCAATTAAATATGGTATTTATATCGAAGTTCCACTGCTGGGTTGTTCGGACAATTTTAGGTTGAATTCACTTATAATTATATTGAAATGGTTATACTAACCACTAAATGGAAAATTAATCATTAATTCATTTAAATTAAGTGAATTCATTATTTTTATTTACTTAAAACGGCAACTAAATTTTCTATGCAAAAACTTTCAAAGTTACGAAGTAGAACTGTATTTCCTTTCAACATTGAACTATATTTGCATTAGGAAAATGGCCGCTTCAATAATTTACATCAACGGTGGATTAAAGATGGAATTTAAAACTAATGCTAATGGAAAGCGGAGTGAATACAAAACAGAGAGGAATTACTGTTCTTATTACTACGTAATGAACTTGTAGTGATAAAGAATAATTTTGAAACAGAAACAGAAATACGTGCAAAATGTCTTCTTTAAGCAAGTACCTAATCATTACTTGAAGTCTTTATTGCATCATTATAACTTGAATTTTTATGTTAATTTTTTAACATTTAATACTCCACTATTATTAGCTCAAAAGGACTATTAGTCTCAAGACAAGATTTTGCTTTATTTCATTTCAATGCAGTATTTCATGTTTCATCTGAGTCTGTTCCTATTCGGAAAAACGTAAAATATTATTCTTTTATGTGTCTGCTATTAATTAACAAATTGAGCTATTAAAAAGCAACAGATGCAGCTGTTAAGGATATTACGCGTTTGCTTTTTAATCTGTTTGATTTAACTAAAACTGCATTTAATTCATGATATATCTAATTAAAAATATTTAATATTTTTACAGAATTACATTACATTTTTTCACTTTTGAAATATACAGAAGGTATATAACGTTCTCCCTTTAGACTACACGAATATTTCGCCATTCTACCTACATCCATATTTCGCCTACATGGATATTTCGAAATATCCTGCAATATATTTCGCCATTCTACCTAGGGCACATGTATTGATAATCTTTTACTGATAAACCATATTAAAGTTTAAAAGAGTCATTTTGGGCGATCGTTAAAATCTGATCAATCTTTAAGATGTTTTTTAAAGTTTCTTTTTTATTTAATGCATCAAAATGTGACATTTTCCGATAAAAATCTATAGCTAAAGAAGTGTTTTCTTTCTTTTCGTACGCCACTGCTCTTGCTTTAATTACTATCACTAAATGATGAAGAATCTCTTTAACTATATGCATGCATGTTCCTCGCAAAAAAAAAAAAAAAAAAAAAAAAAAAGCGGCTTGTAAAGCCACTAAATTGATAACAGATATAGTCTCCCAACCACCGAACCTGTGCACCTCGAAGTTTTAATTTTGAATTTGTTTTTTATCCGTTTCAGACTTTGAGCGAATGTAATGATATATTGATTAAAATACTTGACGATATTAAATACAACGCGTTTTGCTGCTTACAAAACTGTAGTATATAAACAGTATATGTCTTTCAAATTTAATCAACAAATTCAGCATGATATATAATTAATTGTTCTTAAACTAAGCAAAATTATTTTCATGTATTTTGTGTCATATACATATGATGAAACAGGCACTGTATTGAAAGCAATAGATTTAGATGTAATACTGTAGACACACTGATAGGGTAGATACGGAGATGTGTCAATGCATAATGAAGAGCAAACATGGCAGCCGAGAGGAATATCCATCTTTATTTCAATTGACATTTTCTGCCATAATTTATTTGGCACTCTAATCATGCCTATTCAAGAGTATTTACATTTTTAATACTGTTTCCATAGGAATAAAGCAGAGTAAAATAGCATCTAAGCGGTAACAGATGTAGAAGCTAAAGTGTGCAATTATTCAGTATGGTAGTTTATTAAGAAAAAAATTATTTTAAGTTCCGAATGAGCTATACCATTCCGAATGAGCTATACCATTATGCAAGTTACATGACATACACTGGTCTGGAAATGACGCAGTAAATGAAATTATTATTACTATTTTCAGAATAAAGAGGCAAATTATTTGGATATTACTAGTTTAAATCATAATTTTGATTTACATATTTTTAATCTTATACTTATATTATATATAAATAGAAAGTATGTGTTCACAAAAAGACCGAGCTTTTTAAACTGCGCTCCAAATGATGCGGATGGAAAGCGCCGCTCACTGTCCGCATCTGGCTGTAGTGACTTGCTACATATCGCATTTTATTGGATTCCCATCTGGGCGTTTTACAGTTTCCCTTATTTCAGCCAGGTTTGATACTTAGACCTAGTCACATTGCACTTTGAAGGGGGTAGTAGTTAAAACTTTGTGTACTGAGCAACAAAGCAAGAACATCATAAATTCGGTCTTCTTTTGAACAGGCTTCTTGTTATGCAATGAGCATAACATAGTAAATTATTTAATATATCACATTAAATAAAATTCCAGTCGACTAGTGGTCGTGAAAACTGAACTTCTGGAAAGAAGGGTCCTTCCATGTTAAAGCGGCCACAGCGCTTAATCGTAAAAACTGCCAAATTTAAAAAGGCCAGTCTGTGGTGTACAAATATCAAATAATAACAAAGGCTTACGCGGTGGCCGATTTCACAAGAAAGTACCCATAAAAGTTTTAGAAACAAAGTTGTAAACAATTAATTAAAATGTGAGGAAATACCTTATAAATCACATATGAAAAAAATTATATGCCGTATATTACAAATTATCTTACGAATGTTACATTTTTTAAATTCTTTAAACTTACAGTGAACTTTTACAGTCCATTCGTCTTCAATTGCGGAGTTAGGCAAAGCAGGATTTTCAGCCCTGCAGGATAACATTTTGCCATTATCATCAGGTGTTGGTACAAGATGCAGAGTGCTGACCGTCAAATTGCCACCGTCAGAAACAGTGTCAGTGGTACCTGCTCCAATTTTTTTGCCATCAAGCCACCATGTTAACACAGCACGAGGTCTTGATCCGGTTGTTTCGCAAATAATTTGCTTGCGGGTTCCAGCAGTTAGAGGGTAATGAGGTGCTGCTATCTTCACCTCAAGTGGTCTTACTATAAAAGAACAAAAGGAAAAATACCATAAGACATATAATATATTTTCTTTAGGAAGGGGAATATAAAACTTTTTTAACCAGTTAACTGTGATTGACGAGTATACTCGTCATGCATATAATGAAATGGAAAGATAAGAGGGAGGTTTATTTAGTAAGTACTGTACATAATGACAATGTAATAGAAACAGAGAAAAGAAAATAACAAAGAAACCGGAGCTAGTGATTAATTATAATAAAAAAAGGGGTGGAGTGGATATGAGCGATGGAATTATCATAGCGTACTACACAGAAAGAAAACGACTCAAAAAGTACTACGAAAAGATATTTCTCCATTTCTTAGACATTATGTATCTGAATGCATTCATATTACATAAAACAAATAATGGAACATTATCGCGTATCAACTTTTTGCTCAAATTTATTGAAGGCACGCATTTATTGCGACGTATCCAATTAAAAGAAATAAATCGACACAAACTCGGCCATTTTGACCTAATATAAGCCAAATAGGCGGGAACCATGTTCCGGATTATATACCCGGAACATCGAAACAAACAACACTACGCGAAGGTGTTCGCATTGCTGCAAACATAAGATCAGGAAGGAATCGCATTACTGGTGTTCGATTTGCAAAGTCCCATTGTGTATAGTACCCTGTTTCGCTGAATATCGCTCCACAACAGGAATTTAAATTCTTACTTATATATGTGTAATATTTAATTTAATTTATTACATTTCTGTTTAATATGTATGTAATATATGCTTATGTTAACCAAATAAGTAAATATTAGTAATACAATTTTCAGTTTTATAAAATAAACCCATTTTTTCATCAAATATCTTACCAGCGCAACTTACTCTGTGACTGACAAATATACTCATCATGAATCGATTCTGGTGGCAAAAAACGGTGCGCCCTCTTAAACGAGGCCGCCACAGTTAACTGGTTAATGAAATTTAGACTTTACACAAATTAATTTTTATTCAATATATATAGGAATACATTTCCAAATTATTCCATTTATTTCAATAGCACAGGATAATAAATTTCAAATGAGCAAATGTAGGCATTTCTTCAATATGTGGCTTACTTTAGCCATGATTAAAAAGTTAGATAAATTAAAAATTTATATATATATATATATATATATATATATATATATATGTAGTTATGAAGTTATGATTAGCTTATCTGGAAACGAAAGAAGGGTAAGAAAGGATATTTTGCTACAATTCAAGATTTATATATTTTGTGTTTATAACGTAAATTTACTGTACATACTTCTGGTCTCTATTATTTTAATAACAGGCACATTTCATTTCAAAGTCCTAAAAACAGCCATTTTAAGTGAAGCCTTTTGACTGTAAATCTTCCTGTTTTCTTTTTACTTAACTTTCACTCAGAAATAATTAAAAGATTATTAATTTTTACTTTGAGCTTTTTAGGATTTTAATATCCAGAATCTTGCCAAAGAGAGAATAGAATTCTATCCCCCCCTTCCACACTATTTAGATTTTCTTGATCGTCAGCAAATCAGAGAGAAATGTCTTTTGTACTTTTTGAAAATATAAAATTTAAATTCAAAAATTACATTACCTTTACTTTTTTTTACATTTTGGCGCCGGAGTTTTATTTAAAAATGTGAGGGAGGCGAAACGCGATCGAATAGAATTGTTGGTGATTTTATGGAAAGCGACTAAATCCCATTAAAAAGTCAGGAACTTCCTTTTTTTATAGAATCGGCAGCAATTTTTCTCGTAAAATAATTTTTTATAATTATTATATAATTTTTTATAATTATCTCGTAAGTAATTAAAAAAATTATTTTACGATAATTAAAAAAAATTACTACTGATACTGATATGTTTATTATGTTACTTATACTGATATGTTTTCGCTTATATTAAATTAAAGAATTAAGATTAATGCATATTCCTGTATATAATAAATAATAAATTTATTTATTATGAATTACATTATTATTATTATTATTATTATTTATTATAAGTTTCTTATCAGAGTTGAATAAAAGTATTAACATCAATGATTAGTTTGAAGTAGGAAGAAAGAAATTTGAAAACGTAGCATTAAATAGTTTTGCTATGCATATGGAAAAACTGATTATTAATACTTTTTATCAGGGTTCCTTTATTACAAATACTAATTTGCCTCTTCATTCCTTCAAGAAGACATACCTATGTTGAATCGATATCTTACACTGCGTTTGAATGAGTCAAAACACTAACCAAACTTTACCTCAAAACCCAAATTTACTGAACAGTTCAAATATCATGAGTGCTGTTTTCACCTTCAACAAATTTCAAAAGGCAAAACTGAAATAAGTACCCTTTTAAACACATCTAACTTTACTTTCATGATAATAGTGAACATTAAAATTACTTGGAGATTATTTTAAAAATAAATTCATTTAGACCTAGTAGGGGATTTTACTCTACAATAATGCACTTTATTTCAAGGCTGTGTTACTACTCAGAAAACTAATGCGAAAAGCGAATTCGTATTTATCTAATATTATATCTTGGGATCTTTTCTTATTTTCACAGATCAAAGCATTGTTTTGAACCACCCTTTTGAGCCTATTTATGCTATAATAAAATATTTACGGCACAACCATGAAAACGACGTTAAATCTCATTTCAGAGATTAGGTGGGAAAAAAAGTTGACATAAATGTACTGCATTTGATATGGATTACTCTCAAGGGGATGTAATAAATATTGGCCAACGAGCTGAAATCTGGGATTTCATGAAATCATTCCCGATGAACTGAGCTGAATATATGTGTGGGGCAAATCATCAACTAATTTCGTGAAAGGGGGTCACTAATCATTTGTTTTAAACACAGAAACATAAATCAGTATTTTTGGAAAGTTGGATGCGAACTTATTAGCATTTTCAAAAACTTAATTAAAAGAAGCAGACTAAAAACTACGAAAGATATTTTTAAAGTTAAACTCTTAGCTTAATTGTAATGATTTTATTTTACATAATGTAGGTTAATTCAGAAGTCAAACAACAAAAATCAGCGTTAATTTACAAAATTTTCACAGGACTAGTTTCGATGGTTTTACCGAACCATCATCTTCAGCTGCAAAACCGCAAATGAACAAGATAGGAAATAATGTTTAGATAAGATAAGAAAGCCTGGACAAGAATAAGCAAGTGGCGCCATCTGTTGGCGAAACCAGAACTAAAACATAATTTCTCTAAAAGCCGAAGGCAAATTTGGATTGGAATTAGGATCGTTAACTAGAACAGAAAGATTTTTATGAATGTGAAATGCCTCTAGAAAATCCAGTTCTCCAATGGAAGATGTTTTTTGAATAATTTTGGCAGCAGAAAAAATTGAAAGTGTGATTTTCGGACCAACAATGTTGAGCAACAGAAGACTTCTGTGTTTCCTTTTTTCTAACATATGCCTCATGTTCTTTGACGCGAAATTTTAAGGCTCTCTTAGTTTGGCCAATGTAAATTAAACCGCACTGGCAAGGAATCCTATAAATACCCCAGGAATTCATATCCGGAATGGGGTCCTTGAGTATAGAAGTTGGAATTTTATTGATGGGAGAGTAGACAACCCGAAAGTTAAATTTCTGCAAAATATGTGCAACTTTATAGCTAATTGATGGAAAGAAGGGAATGACAACAGAATTTTTATAATCTCCTAAAATAAGAGTGTGGCTTTTAGTGTGTTGAGATGAGAATTTTTTAACTGCTTGATTAATAATGTTGGGTGAAAAGCCCCTGTCAATAGCTATTGCTTTTAAATAATTTAGTTCTTCATCAAGGGCTAGTTTGGAGGAGCAAACTTGAAGACCACGGAAAACATAGGAATAAAATGAAGCTAACTTTTGTTTAGTCGGATGACATGATTTAAAGTGTGGTGGAAGGCAAACCGATGAAGGTTTACGGTAAACTGTAGTACTGAAGTTGGATGTGTTACGTGTGACCAGAATGTCGAGAAACGGAAGAGAATTGCAAGTCTCAAGTTCAAAAGTGAACTGAATAGCAGGATCAATAGAATTCATTGTTGAAAGAACTCTATTTAAATCATCTTTATTACCTTCAAAGAGGGTAAAAGTATCGTCTACGTAGCGGAACCATGCCGGGAAGTTGCCGGGATTCTATTGATCCTGCTATTCAGTTCAGTTTTGAACTTGAGACTTGCAATTCTCTTCCGTTTCTCGACATTCTGGTCACACGTAACACATCCAACTTCAGTACTACAGTTTACCGTAAACCTTCATCGGTTTGCCTTCCACCACACTTTAAATCATGTCATCCGACTAAACAAAAGTTAGCTTCATTTTATTCCTATGTTTTCCGTGGTCTTCAAGTTTGCTCCTCCAAACTAGCCCTTGATGAAGAACTAAATTATTTAAAAGCAATAGCTATTGACAGGGGCTTTCACCCAACATTATTAATCAAGCAGTTAAAAAATTCTCATCTCAACACACTAAAAGCCACACTCTTATTTTAGGAGATTATAAAAATTCTGTTGTCATTCCCTTCTTTCCATCAATTAGCTATAAAGTTGCACATATTTTGCAGAAATTTAACTTTCGGGTTGTCTACTCTCCCATCAATAAAATTCCAACTTCTATACTCAAGGACCCCATTCCGGATATGAATTCCTGGGGTATTTATAGGATTCCTTGCCAGTGCGGTTTAATTTACATTGGCCAAACTAAGAGAGCCTTAAAATTTCGCGTCAAAGAACATGAGGCATATGTTAGAAAAAAGGAAACACAGAAGTCTTCTGTTGCTCAACATTGTTGGTCCGAAAATCACACTTTCAATTTTTCTGCTGCCAAAATTATTCAAAAAACATCTTCCATTGGAGAAAACTGGATTTTCTAGAGGCATTTCACATTCATAAAAATCTTTCTGTTCTAGTTAACGATCCTAATTCCAATCCAAATTTGCCTTCGGCTTTTAGAGAAATTATGTTTTAGTTCTGGTTTCGCCAACAGATGGCGCCACTTGCTTATTCTTGTCCAGGCTTTCTTATCTTATCTAAACATTATTTCCTATCTTGTTCATTTGTGGTTTTGCAGCTGAAGATAATGGTTCGGTAAAACCATCGAAACTAGTCCTGTGAAAATTTTGTAAATTAACGCTGATTTTTGTTGTTTGACTTCTGAATTAGTATTTATTCGGCGTGTTATTGTGTCTTAATTATAATGTAGGTTATGCAATGGAATGTGAAGCCAAAATGTATACAAATTTACAGTCCCCAAACAGCTGATTTAAAATTGAATTATTCTCAAGTACATGAAGCAAACTACTTACTAAAAATTCAACCAAAATTTAATATAGTTTCTTCAATGCTTCTATTTTTAAAATTAATTTTTAAACGAAAGAAGAATTAAAAATAAATTAATTTTTTTGAATAAGATTATATAGTACATACTACTAGGAATAAGTCTAAATCCGTTGAAATAAGTCGAAGTTAAAATTGCATTACAAAAACATATTGAAGAGTTAATATTTTAGGAATAAATAAAATATTTGCATTTTAATACAGAATTTTTTAATTTTAAGAACTATTTTATTTTAAAACACAAATTTTATATAGGTATCTTAAATTAATAACATACGTATATTGGATACATCAGTTACAAGTATGTTTTCATTCTTAAAAGTTTTTAGAGGAAGAGATGAGAATGAGAAGGAGAAAATTAATTGAAATCCTTTATGTGTTTTTCATTGCCCACTGTATTTATGTTTTTCCTGTGGCTGCCTTTAATAGTCGTGCGAATATTCAATCACTTAGATTAAATTGCACAGAAAAATATAGTTTCGCTCTCTAATTGAACGTTTTATCATATGTATCTATGAGAAAGGTACTAATATTTTATTTATGTATATGAAATATTTAAAGCATGAGCATATTGAAATCATAAATAAAGATTTTTTGCCTAGAATGCTATGTCGAAATGTCTCATCCAATAATGATAATTATTTCAGGCTGCAGAAGGAAAATATTATAAATTATTTACCAAACGTGTTGAAGAAAATTTTAATTACCAGAAAGGATTATTTATGAAATCCGCTTAGGAAATCAAGTTATATTTTCGAAGTATCAGAGTTTTACTCTAATTTTTGCAGACTAAAATTAGCATAGTAACCAATTATTAATATAACAGTTTTTAAATAACACGCTGTGCATTCAAATATAATAAACTAATGACAGCATTAAAGAGCTTTTACTGATAATGTTGTACGGTAACATTTATCTTTATTATGACGAAACTAGAGAAACACAGTGAACGTCTCAAGCTTTAATTTAAATTTCATTATTAATATCTAAATATCGGTCAATAATTTTAACTGAAATATTTACTTAAAGGTTTGTGAAAAACATATACTATTGTTGATTTTATTGCAGGCAACTAGTTGCTATGGGATTTCAATTATATGTACATAATCCATTTGTACTTTCTTTTATCAGCGAAGTTTTTTACACGGAAATCAATTTTATTAAAACTTAAGACTTTTCTTATAAACTTAACTGTATGATTAAAATTTCGATTCTAGTAAATGTAGAACCGTTTTGTAGAATAATCTAAGGAAAAAAAAAACAGGTTTGCATATTATGTAGTAGCAATTTATGTATTCTAAGCAGGCAAAAATTAATAACGGGTAGTCCAATCAATTCACTATAATCATCATTAAGATTCATGTTATATGAATCTTAATGATGATTTTTCCGAAATTATAAATTATCAAACACTTTATCACAAGAATGAAACTTTCGAGTACTTTCATGACATAAAATTTGTAGTTTGAGGGAAATATAAAGGGAAAAAGTGCTTATTGCATTCAATGGACTGAATTTCCCAGTTTTCGCTACTTTGACCATTGCTTGCGATATGTTGAAAGTTCGATGAGTCTAGTTGACATTAGGAACGTCCTTAGAGAAATTTTTTTTCACAATTTCTGGATTGTTACTTTCCTTATGTTATATTATACCGTCATTTTCTTTTCATTCACTGTTGGAAGCATATAATCTTAAATTTTCCTTGTATACAGTGTCGCAAAAAGAAAGTTCTCAAAGTATTCCTATTTTGCAAAGCAAAAATTTTAGTTTATCCTTCAAAAATGTTAGCTTCAAGATGTGACTTCATAATTGTTTAACAAATTCAGTATTTTAAAATCAATAAATGTACAGCTAAATATTTTTAATCTTTATATTTTACTGCTAATCTATGTAATGCATTTATCCCAAATGTTACAATATAGAAAAGATATTTATGAGCATGAAATTACTTACGATTGATATCTAATCTTACAGCTGTAGTTTTAGGGCGGGTGAGATTGGTATTAGTAGCTTGGCAAGTCAGTTCTGCTAATAAGTCAGATCTCCTCAATTCGAAAAGGAATAGTTCATTTCTTACAAAACCCTGAGGTGTAACATTGAAACTGTCGTCCAAAAGAGTGGTTCCTCGCCACCACGTTACTTCTGGGGATGGATCTCCTGTAGAAAGAAAGCATATAAAAATTCTAGTGAATTATACTTCTTTTAAATAATAAATGTTTATGTCTCTCCGTATAAAGTGTCAGAGATGAGGCTACTTTGAGATATTAATTCAACCTGCTATTTGTAGATCTGTGTATATCTTGCCATATACTATTAATAATACACTTATTATAAAGATTGATGCAAGTACTAATAAATAAAGTTTGCCATCTTTGATTTATAGCGCTTGCGAACGTCGATAACATAGCGATATATCTTTATATAGTATATAAGCGGCTGAAGTGTGTGTTGCCGATAGATTATTGTTGCCACTCGGAAAAATGAGCCCGGAAATGAACTTTTCCGCAGTTTTTAATTAATATCTAGGCCGATTAAAGTCGTACGAAGATGAGAACGGTATCGATGGATTCGGAAAAATTTTTGGAATCCGAGGATACGCGTCTCGAATTTCAACTTGGCGCCGTTCCGTAGATATTCGAAAAAAAGAATTTGGCACGTAGCCAAATCTCTGTAATAGGGAAAACCCAAGAAAGAAAGTGGAAAAAATGTAGGGATAAATTAGTTTTTAATTAATATCTCGGCTAATTAAATGAATGGTCAAAATGGCGTGCCACAGACCTGCGGAATCCAACGGTGTGCTTTGCTAAGCCCGGGGGCCAGCCGTTTCGAAGAAGATGATGTTACTTCACCCAAGTTCTCGAAATCTGCTGCTTTTTCAACAGGGAAGATTTAAATGGCCTTTAATATAAGACCTTTTTTAGCAGTAGCCATGAAAAATTAGCTGTGGCTGCAACAATGTGAGGCTGCACTATTAATTGTCATATTAGCCACTAAAATAATTAATTGTAAGGAACAGTAAGAAAAAAATTACAGTATGAATAAGTCATTGTAAAAGACGCTATAGATGTACACTGTCTTAGGATTTTGTCGAGGAATGTCTTTCTCCCTTTACAAAGTCTTTAGTCGTAACTGACGTGTTAATGCTTGAATTGACCTGATTAGCTAGTCGTCAATTGACATTTTATCTCGAAAACTATTTTCACCTTGAAAATTGATTTGTTGAAATACTTATCTATATTGAGATTGAATTCGTTATTACGTCTTTTCATTTTATAGAAGTATTTGTTTCCTGTTCTGACAAATGTATTTAATGGCCAAAAGTGCAAATACAATCATTTTTACAAAATCAGTAGTTTATAAATTATAATTTTCAAAACCATATATCTTTCACACATGAATTATGGTTAGAATTTAGACTCACCCATAGATGAAAAATAAGATCAGTAATTAAATTTGAAAGTACTACCCTTAAGAACGCAGTACACACTTGTCAGGTTACTCATATACTGTTTATTACTTTCATGATGAGTAATGATTCGTTGATCATTATATCAGTTTTTTCATAACAAGATTAAAAATTACTATTACATTGTTCTTTTTACGCAAGATATAAAGCATAAGGCTAATTTGTCGATGACAAAAAATGTATTATTCAAATTATACACAAAAAGCATGAAAGGGACTTATCCATTCAAGTCATTTGTTGGGAATATGCTTTTAGAGAAAACTCTAACATGGTATTGAAAATGTATTATATTTGGGCTTCAAAGTTCAGTACTCTTTGTGCTACATTTCAATTAAAAATTCTTTGGATACTTAGCTTTTCTCTACGTTTCAAAGGATACAGCTTCACGTTTAATACTTTGATATCCCTTTTAACTAATTTCTTTCTTGAAACTGTTCGGTTTCAAACATAATTTCATTATCAACAAAGAAATCTTACACTACTCTCATTTCTGTCTTTCTATTCTAACCTTGCGCTGTGCGGATCATCAGATAGGAATTTTATACTAAAAATTGCGAACAAAATTTTAATGGGATTCTAAATGAAGACTAAATGATATTCGCAATTAAAAAAGATTTCTATTAACTTCACTTTCGACTTTCTAAATTCTGAAGCAATTAGATTCCTAGATCACGGTTTAATTTAATTCCAACTGAATTCGAAAACTTGTTTCTTGTTTCTAACATTTTGTGGTAGCATAAAATGAAATAGTCACATTTGAAAATAATGTAAAAAGACATATGAAAATGGACATATGAAAAATAAATTCTCGAATCACATATTTTATTCGTAGTGGCAAAAATCAAAATTAATTTATTCTAAATGAAATTACAGAAGGAAGGAGGTACACAACATTGCTGAAATTCATGCAGTTTCCTCCTTATAAAAGTAAAATTATATTTATATAGCCTTAATTTGGTAGAAATTTATTTTTATCTGCCCATCTCTATTATTTTAACATATGCAGATATATCGTTATACAATGCCTTTTATGAAAATATATCTTCTATACAAAATCTATTTGTATATTAGATGAATATACTTGTGAAAGAAAAAAATGTACACTAAGAAACGGGAATGAAAAAATATGAATAAATGCATGCATAAACTGGAACTTTGAATTTATAAAAGAACGCACCTATAAAATGTTATTATATGTGTTCGAAATGGCTGCTATGTTTTTCAGCATGAATTTCACTCTCTTCCGAATGTTCTTTCCTTATTTGAAAAACTTCTGTAGTCAGATATTTTAATACTTATTTGAATGCGAATCTTCATTTATCCCAGTGTTAGGGATTTTCAAGTTTTTATTCAAGGCAACCACATAAAGAAAGGAGAAATCCTGCATTCAGACCTGGAGATCTTGGTATCCATAAGCCCCAATTACAAATTTTCTTTTTGAGAAATTTTAGGTTATATTGATTTAGAGTGATGCATATCTTGTTGCAACAAATATGGTCGTACAATGAATTAAGAAAACTGACATCTTACTGCAATGAGGGAGGAGGCCAACAGATCATTTTTGTAATATTTTTTAACCGAATACATTCGTCAGTAAGTGAAAAGGCATTTAATGATTCTAGATTTTACGTATCTTTCTTCTATTGTCATTTAGGTAACCTTTCAAATCTCGTTTACAAATTCAAACCACTCCACAGGAAGAATTCGTTCAAGCGCAGAAAGTTAGAACCATGGGATATATGCTTTAATCTCTTCGTTACTAGTAACTTCGATTTTCTTTCATATATCATTGGTGAAGACTTACAGTGCAAATGTAGTTTGCATGTTAACCGCAATTTCTGTATTTTTCTAGTGTATATTACAAAATTAACAACATGTTGTGCATGCTAGGAAATCTTTTAAACTCAGACAGATATTGTTAACAACGTTTTTACTTAAATTTCCTATTTATATAGTTTTAGCAAACCACTGCCATTACATTGACATTACGCACACACTAATACACAGACACAGAACGCAGAGCACAAAACACAGAGCAGCAAGGAAAAAAAGACATAGCTATAGCATTTACGTAGACTAAGACTACAAGAACATGTACATAATATGCTACTATAATTCCAACCTTCTAAATTCTTATCAGATTTTAAAACATATTCATATGTAAATTAGCCTTGATACTTTTGATAAATAATTACAAAATCGTAGTCCTTGTTTCGAAGCTAGTAAGGTTGCATCGTGATGTGATAAATGCCACAGTAACTTGAACAGAGAACTTAATAGAATAAAAAACTCATCGCTTCTTCCCCTGACAACGCTAGTAGGGCTGGATGGAATATTTCTTCTACGGTTAAACGAGTGTATAGAGATAGGTGCGAAGAAGATCGTAGGAACGAAGATACAATGTCCTGGACTTCGTACGAAAAATCCGCAGAGAGAGGATTGTCATCAGATGTTTCGAGCTAACCATTTCTCGTCTGTAACAATAAAGGCACATGAATGGCGAAGAATTATACAGTATCCAATTAAATCACTTAAAGTTTGTGATTATTTACTTCCCTATGTATTAGTGATGCATCCAACGTTTCTAACAGCTCCTTTGGCTCCTCAGCAACATACTGCCAGACTGTAGTGATGCACTGGGCATAGCATTAACAGACAGATTGGGATGACATCATTTTTGGAGATGAATGAGGGTTTTGTTTAAAAAGCATTGTATATTCATTCTTGGGAAGATTGTATTCGTATATGGCATGCCGTGCCAACAAAGAGTATTCTTCTATGGGGTGCTAGAAAATCGCTTCTAATAAGAGATCAGGCTACCATAACGAGCTTTGGATGAGTCAGTGACTTTCTACAATAAGTCAATTTTCCAAACTCGCTGTGTCTCCCGCGGTTATTTTCTAACACATTATACTCATGCTGCGGCAATCACACGAGTCATCTAAAAAATACAGGGTGATTCTAATTTGTTTTTACAAATTAGGTGGGGTAATAATTACCACAGAACATAGGGTCGCATTCCACTTGTAGAAACATTAGGTTATTTCGAAGCAAGAGAGATAAAAATTAGCAACCGCCTTCGCCGGGAATCGAACCACGGACCTCTGGAATACCAACCCAGCGTGCACAACCACTACAACCACTACACCACGAAGGCACGACAAGAAGGTGGGAGATATACCTTATATACTCCCCGTTTTAAAGGGCGACTGGGGTGTTTAGAGGACCCAATCGCCAAATCCTGGGTGGGGAAAAAATCATCCAACAACCCCTTTTAGTTCGGGCGCCACTGTAGAGACATTAGATTATTTCGAAGCAAGAGAGATGAAAAATTAGCAACCACCTTCGCCGAGAATCCAACAAGGGACCTCTGGAATACCGGCCCAGTGTTCAGAACCACTACACCACGAAGGCACGCCAAAAAGGTTGGAGATATACCTTCTAAATATATCCCCTATACACTCTTAGACACAGAAACGAGGAATATTAGAATTCCAACCTGAACTTAAACAGTGTTGAGAGAGCGAATGAACGAGACCAAAAGTTGCCCCATCAGTTTAGTGTAAAGCTCACAGAGAGTGCATAAAACGGATAAAACCGAAAACTTGGCGTTCGGGTGTTAATTCAAGCTCAGATTTGGACGGCAAATACTCAAATCCACATCTTTGGTTCGCAAGGTCTCAACCCCGCA